GAGAGAGAGGGGGGGGGGGGTAGTGAGAGAGAGAAAGAGAGGGGGGAAAGAGAGAGAGAGAGAGAGAGAGAGAGAGAGAGAGAGAGAGAGAGAGAGAGAGAGAGAGAGAGAGAGAGAGAGAGAGAGAGAGAGAGGGGGGGGGGGGGGGAGTGAGAGAGAGAAAGAGAGGGGGGAAAGAGAGAAATAGAGAGAGAGAGAGAGAGAGAGAGAGATGGGGGGGGGGATATAGTGAGGGAGAGATAGTGAGAGACCGAGAGAGGTGGGGGGAAAGAGAGAGAGAGAGAGAGAGAGAGAGATGGGGGGGGGTATAGTGAGGGAGAGATAGTGAGAGATCGAGACAGGGGGGAGAATGAGAGAGGTGGGGGAAAGAGAGAGAGAGAGAGAGAGAGAGAGAGAGAGAGAGAGAGAGAGAGAGAGAGAGAGAGAGAGAGAGAGAGAGAGAGAGAGAGGGGGGGGGGGGGGGGGATGGAAGGTTGCAGATGGAGTCAACGAAACAAAAAGCTGAAACTTGCCGAAAAACTCGAACATGCTAACCTACAACAGAAACAACGTGAGAGGACTGTTGTCTTCAGTATGGCGTGTCTTATATACACTGATCATATCTCTTATGTCATGAAACTGTTTCCGGCCTCTGACCAAGGATAAACTTCAGCCCCTCCCCCTAAAAAAACTAGTTATTGTGATAATAATAATAACAATAGTGATGGAGATAATGATAAAACCCGCAGAAACGAAAACAACTTCGTTATCTTAAAACCAACATCTTTCCTTCCCCAAAAGTATTCGCAGCCCTGTTTTACGTGAGAAAGAATCTACTTCGCCGCAAACGATAACTGTCGCGGGTGAGATCCAGCGTTGTATGTTCTTTCTTCAATATTACCCTCCTAAGTGTTTTTCAGTGTCGTCTAAACCGCTCTCCAGGTAATGCTTCGAAGCGGTCAGGGACTTCATCATAAGCCCCAAATACACTTCTCGTTTGTATGCATTGCATTTCGTTTTTTTTGTTTTCTTTCTTCCTTTTTTTTAAACTTGCGTTTGAGTTTAAGTTCGTGCACCCTGGTGTGTTGTCGATGCAAAAGTTGCTCCCTCCCTACTCCTAATAGGATTCCCGATTCCAACTTCTTCCTTGCCGCGTTGGCGAGGGAAGAAACACTCGCTCGCGTTTTCGAGACTCGCCAAAGGTCCTCCCGCTTGCAAGAAGGAATAATTGAAACGCGATCGAACTGCCGAGAGAGCGGCGGCGCGTGACTAACGGACGAAGACGCGTGCAGATTCTCTTTTGTTTTGATGACACGTGGTCATGCCTACATGTGTACGAATGCAAAAACGCTTAACCTTCAAAGGTCTCCAATGTGCAAAAGAAAAAAGAAGAAAAAAGTCTCTATCTTCCGAGACTCTGGGGGATTCCTTACCGGCCTGACCTTGAAACGTCGTGGGATGGCAGCAAACAATATATGCAGTGGTTTAAATGTCAAGCGCCGTGCTATAAAAAGAAGAATTGCGCTTCTTGCCTGCGTGCGACCTACACGGCGAGACGAATTCCTGCAGAGAACAACTTACGAAACAGAAGCTAAAATCGTTTAATAATTTACACAGAAGACCCCAAGCACATTTCCGGGAAGCTGCACTCCGCCCTATTCATGCAATCGTCGCAATTACTCGGAAAAGAGACGACGACAGGCAATGAAGATTGCTCTGACATCGACGGCTAATGGCAGGCCCGGCGCTCAGACTGGAACGGGTATTCTTCTCCTGTTCAATCTTCCAGCACGAACGGATGCTGCAGATGATGAGTGGGTTACCACTTGTATATTCTTAAATCATGGAGCAAGGTCAATAAATTACTGAGAAAAACTAACAAACAAAAAAACAGCGTCACTGAAAAAAAACTGCCATTCTATTCTCGCTTCTCGCGTGGTTGTCCCTGTGCCATCCCTATGCGAAATCAACACCCGAGCTGAAGCCCTGACACCCAGATTCTAACGAAAAGAATTCTTGCCAGCGACATCAAACAGCTGGAAACACGTCGCCGAGCGGAGCAAAACAACCAGGGGCCGTAATGAGTAGGTGACGCACGGCTTCCGCAACGCAGCCCCATCCCGGCGTTACGGTGGGACATTCTGCTGTCCCCAAGGACGCTGTCTGCTTCGGCGTCGATATCAGTCTTTCTGCTATCTGTGCAACATTGCCAATAATGTCGTATCCGTAAGTAAACTCAATGCGGGATCGTGATGATAATTTAAATTTGGATATGAATATCAGAATATTATTTGGAGATCTCTATATGCGCTGCGCGCACGATTGTATATAACTTTTTTTTTTCCTGTGTGTTTACAATCTATTCCTATAAAAGTGCGTGCGTCCTCATGAGTATTACCAAACGTCTTGTAGGCGTGGCTGGCACACTGCCCTCCCACCTCTCGTGCACCTCACGTTCCTGCTGGTCATGTTCACTATCATACCTGTGCCTCGCCTTTCCATTTCTTGCCTCACAGCCTTTCGGCATCTTGCATTCGCTCGCTGTCCCTCCAAGCCTCTCCCACTCACAGCCCCCCACCCCCCGAGTCTCTGTGTCAGGCAGAACCAGCCAATGATCCAACATTTAACTTCATGAATATACAATAATCGCCAATCCTCAATCGTAGGTTCTCTATCAATGTCATCCAATCATGTTTGAACCCTTCGTCTTTCTAAACTCGTTTTCATCTTTTTCTATTCCGATACTCTACTGCAGAAGTTTTCCTTTCCTTTTAATCGGCGTTCTTCGCCGATTCTTCTCCCTTGTTACTGCCTTGCACACACGACCATCACCCTTTTACATTTTCTCCGCTACTTGCCCTTCCGTCCCCTTTCAGAACGCCCCCCCCCCTTCGACTCCTCTCTCCTTCTCCCCCACCTTCCTCCTCCTCCGCTTCTCCCCTCGTCACCCATGACTCCACCTTCTCCCCCTCTCGCATGCCTTCCTCGTTACAAAAGGATGCCGGGTGTAACAAAATATTAAAAAAGGGTTGTAAGTGTTGGTGTGTCGAAGTCGACCTTGACTTGGTCACGCTCCGTGATAACGCACCCTCCCCCCTCCCCTCACTCCCCCATGACCACTTGCTCGGACCACATTCAGCAAAGCGCACTGCGTCGCCGACTTCCTACAACGGGCTCGGCGCAAAACAGGCGGCGGAGCGTACTACGAGCCAGGGATACCCACGATATATATATATATATATATATATATATATATATATATATATATATATATATATATATATATATATATATATATATATATATATATATATATATATATATATATATATATATATATATATATATATATATATATATATATATATATATATATATATATATATATATATATATATATATATATATATATATATATATATATATATATATATATATATATATATATATATATATATATATATATATATATATATATATATATATATATATATATATATATATATATATATATATATATATATATATATATATATATATATATATATATATATATATATATATATATATATATATATATATATATATATATATATATATATATATATATATATATATATATATATATATATATATATATATATATATATATATATATATATATATATATATATATATATATATATATATATATATATATATATATATATATATATATATATATATATATATATATATATATATATATATATATATATATATATATATATATATATATATATATATATATATATATATATATATATATATATATATATATATATATATATATATATATATATATATATATATATATATATATATATATATATATATATATATATATATATATATATATATATATATATATATATATATATATATATATATATATATATATATATATATATATATATATATATATATATATATATATATATATATATATATATATATATATATATATATATATATATATATATATATATATATATATATATATATATATATATATATATATATATATATATATATATATATATATATATATATATATATATATATATATATATATATATATATATATATATATATATATATATATATATATATATATATATATATATATATATATATATATATATATATATATATATATATATATATATATATATATATATATATATATATATATATATATATATATATATATATATATATATATATATATATATATATATATATATATATATATATATATATATATATATATATATATATATATATATATATATATATATATATATATATATATATATATATATATATATATATATATATATATATATATATATATATATATATATATATATATATATATATATATATATATATATATATATATATATATATATATATATATATATATATATATATATATATATATATATATATATATATATATATATATATATATATATATATATATATATATATATATATATATATATATATATATATATATATATATATATATATATATATATATATATATATATATATATATATATATATATATATATATATATATATATATATATATATATATATATATATATATATATATATATATATATATATATATATATATATATATATATATATATATATATATATATATATATATATATATATATATATATATATATATATATATATATATATATATATATATATATATATATATATATATATATATATATATATATATATATATATATATATATATATATATATATATATATATATATATATATATATATATATATATATATATATATATATATATATATATATATATATATATATATATATATATATATATATATATATATATATATATATATATATATATATATATATATATATATATATATATATATATATATATATATATATATATATATATATATATATATATATATATATATATATATATATATATATATATATATATATACGTATGTATGTACTTCTCCCCCACCTTCCTCCTCCTCCGCTTCTCCCCTCGTCACCCATGACTCCACCTTCTCCCCCTCTCGCATGCCTTCCTCGTTACAAAAGGATGCCGGGTGTAACAAAATATTAAAAAAGGGTTGTAAGTGTTGGTGTGTCGAAGTCGACCTTGACTTGGTCACGCTCCGTGATAACGCACCCTCCCCCCTCCCCTCACTCCCCCATGACCACTTGCTCGGACCACATTCAGCAAAGCGCACTGCGTCGCCGACTTCCTACAACGGGCTCGGCGCAAAACAGGCGGCGGAGCGTACTACGAGCCAGGGATACCCACGAGCCTTGCTCTTCCGTGTGCCAGTTGCAGACGCGTTCATTTTCTTGCAGAATAAAATTTTTTAGAGCTGAATTTCTCTAAACAGTGAGCAGTTCCTTTCTGTATTAACTTTAGAGCAACCATATGGAATTGCACACGTGCGCTAGCAACAGGTGTCAGCTTGCATCAGAGCTGTGCGCACGCCTCGCTTCTCTCACCAAAAGGCTTTCGGTTCCGCAAATATCAACGCGTCCAACCCGTCGAGTGTTTATCCGCGTGTTGCAAGACCTTGCCTGATTACCTTGATGCGCCTTTTGTTTACTTGTCTCCACGTGTGACGCCCGCGTGCAGAGATTTCACCACACGCGATGCTAACCAACAGAGAATCTGCCGCGCTGACCACACCGCCTCCCTTGTCATTCACCACACCTTTTCTCACAAACACGCATCTCTAATTCAAACAACACGCCTTCCCTGTTGACCATGCGCAAGGAACGAGAAAGAAGATTCACCAGATAAACCAGAAATAATTCGATTTTAAGGAATAAAAGAGAGAACTATGAGAGGAAGTGTGAAGAGTGAGGTGGGAGGACTCAGGACAGCCCAGACAAGTTTCCCTCTAAAATAGAACAATGACAATTCGCCTTCGCTTCACAGTCATGTCAGTTTTATTTTATTTTTACATATAATATTAACAAATAATTCTACATTGTTAGATTAGAAATGAAAAGTACGCAACTTACAAAAAACATGAACATGAGTGAATAAATTAATAAACACATATACATACACACAGACACACACATGTACGTATATATATATGTGTGTGTGTGTGTGTGTGTGTGTGTGTGTGTGTGTGTGTGTGTGTGTGTGTGTGTGTGTGTGTGTGTGTGTGTGTGTGTGTGTATGTGTATACACGTATGTATGTATGTACTTTTATGAGTACAGACAAACATACACCCAAACACAGATACTCGTACGCTCTCCAAGCAATAGCCCATTAAAAGTTAATAGTTCTTTTGAAGAACCAAGAAGAGCGGCCTCCCGAGACGTAATTAATCCCGAGACCCGCTCCCAAGACTGCAGCGGGCATGTCCCAACACCAGCCCCGTCGGCGGCCATGTCGCTCTCGGGACTCGCCTGCCCTGACCCTCGCCCTCACCGCCGCCTTTGGTTTCTCCAAGCTTTATTCTCTCCGCGTTCAGAGAGATCTTTCCGTTTTACATGCTCTATTTGCCTTTACATCATTCCTGATACTAAATATACATCTATGTATCTCTATCTATATCTACCTATACTATCACTGTGAATCGTTTTTTTCCTCCCTTCTCTCATCTTTCCTCTTATCTCGGTTCCTTACGGCTGTTGCTTCAGCTGCAGCCGGTCTGAAGTGGCTCATCTGACGACTGCTTTCACTTTCAGTTCTCTGCATCTGACCTTATTTCTACGATCGCCTTTTATCACATTTTCATCCAGAAATTCAAACCTTTTTGAGCCATGGGGTGACTAGTAGAGTGGTGTTAGGACAGAGCGAAGGCGGGTTGGAGAAAGAGGGAAGGGAAAGGGTGAGGTGGGTAAGAGGAATGGGAATGCAAGGGTGAGATTTCGCCCCCGAGCGCAAAGGACAATTTCCTGTCCCTTTCCCAGCGTCATCTGTGATCGCAGCGGCGAGGTATCCGCTGTCACCGAACTCCCCACAGGCAAGAGCTCGCCAGGGTCGCCAACGGGATAAGCGAGGGGAAGGGGACGCCCACTCCAGGGGTAAGCCTTGCGTTGCTCTCCCAGCTCTACACGGAGGCGCGGGGGGGGGGGGGGGGGGTCAGGACGGCCGGCTAGGTCCCTGGATGCCGTTAAGAGCAGCGTTCTCCAAAATGGAGGGAGATGCAGCTTTGTTTCTACAACTGTGGGGGGGGGGGGGCGACATTAGTAACGCTTGTTTGCACCTGGAGACTGTAACTCCCTACCTGCGCTTCCTCGGGGACGCGAGGCCCTTCTCGACACACCGTTACCTGCCCTCTAATGATCACTGATGC